GCTCGCCGGTCCAGCCTGTGTATCCCCCAGCGGCCGTGGATGCCGGGAGCAGCAGCATCTTTAAAAACGTTGGGATTTACGGGCTCTGCACGTCTGCTCTCCTTCACGGATGCTCGGATCGCTCTCTGTGTTTGTTTCGTTTTTCCACTCCTCGCCTGGGATTTGAATCTGGATCCTGGGAAACCCTCCCTGCAGCCGCGCCTACGCCGAAATCCGCATCCTGCACTAGTGCAGGGAGGGTGGCGGAGGCTGTCGGGGCTGTCCCCGGGCTTTGCTTGTGGCACTCGATGCCATCTCCATCTCCGATACCGACAGCAAACTCAGCGCCAGGCACCCACTGCCTGCAAAGTACCGATTTTGGCTGAGGAAAGCACCCAGAGGTTGTGAAGCTGAGCCGAGCGCTTTTCAGGGTGCTGTGCAAGGCTGGGGTGGCCCCGGCACGGGCAGGGTGTGCGCGGGGCTGGGGAGCCCAAAACAGGGCTCCAAAGTCTGGTTGTCCGGGGCACGGCTGGGGCGGACGTGGCTGATAACCACCAGCTCCTTGAGCTGCCTTTAGAGGAGAGAGGTGACGTGCAGGCACGAGGAAAATTTATTCCTCTAAGGCATCAGATTTTGTTTTGTTTCAGCCAAGCCTGAGCCCAGGGCCGCAGCTGATTAGGAGGAGCCCTGCCCTAATCAGAAGTTTTTGCTCCCAGGCTGCCTGCTATTAAGATATCGGAGTCGTTCCTTCCTTGCTATCTTTGTACTTGGGACAGCGTTCATACGTCAGACCGAGGAAATGCAAAGGGCTGGGATCACAACGCGCCCCACGTGCCCCTCCCGGCTCAGCACCGCTGCTCACGCTGACCCGGGGCTGCGTTCCTAGCCCGAAGCCCTCTGCTCCCACGCTGTGACGGTGAGTGAAGAGCTCTCCGCGGCTGCAGGGACGCCTTCCCCAGCAGTGCCGGGGGCTGGAAAGTGTTGGTGCCTCAAGGTCCCTCAAAAGCTGCGGGCTGAGCGCCCTGCACCAGCCATCTGCTTTGGGCAAACCCATCCGGGTTTTCCGGGGGCTGTGGGTTGAGAGGGGATGGCCATGTTGAACGGGGACAGCTGGAGGGACCTCCTGGCTCCTCTTCAAGGGTGTCCGAGAGGTGGCATCATCAGAGGTAGGGTGGGACAGAGTTTGTGGCATCTCCGTGTTGGTGCGGGTGGTGCTGGGGACACGACAGTGGGCAGGAGGCAGCAGCTCCTCCCCAGCTCCGTGCACCTTTACCTACCCCAGAGCCTATAGGTCCCTTCTCCAGCAAAGCATTCCCAGCGCGGGCTTGCTTTGCTCTGCAAGGCAACGCTTCACAGGGACATAAACAGCTCTCCGAACAATAAAATCTCTGCAGGCAGATTTTGGCTGGTGCAATCCTCCCCTCCCTTTGCAGCAGCTTCTGGGGTGGCCGGACAGGAGGTTCCTCAGCCCTGTATCCCCGGAGCAACCGGCTGTGATGCCCTGGGATGGATTCCCTGGCAATGTGCTCCGCTCCCCGGGTGGCAGCCGGCGCTTCCCCCCCTCTGCGGAGGGCAGCTGGGTGCTTGCAGGGCTGTCGGTAACTCGTGGTAGGGCTGGGGCTGAGGCTTGAGAAGGAAAAGCGAGGGGAAGTCGTCTACAGCAAGCTGTAAATAGAGATTATATCAGCGTGTGGATAACTGGCCTTGGGCTGGATGCAGCAAGGATGTGGTCACTGGGGCTTGAGCCGGCGGCCGGGGGAAGGTCCCGTGGTGCTGTGTGTGCTTGGTTCATCTCAGCCCTGGTTTCAGCCGTGGGGTAAAGCATC